CTTCATCCATGGAAATTAGGAAGATTAATGTGGTCACCTGCCATGATTCTGTTGGTTTTCAAATTTTAACATTGTCACTATAATTTCTGAAAAGATATATCACCACAAGTTGTGAACAATTCTTTAGTTTGTTTGCTCCCACCTTCTGCTCCTTCCTTGTCTGTGATTTTTTTTTTGGAGTGGTTATTGATGGTTTATTTTATTGTGGATTAAAAGTAAAAATACCTGAAATCTGGAGCACTAACTCATGAATTCACAATAACATTAAGCTAAGTGAAAAACCTAGTCAATGTCTCCTTAAGTCCGATGACAAGAAATGAGTTCAGGTTCTCTTGGGACTGATTGACTGAATTTGAATCTCAACTCTGTTCCTTTCACAAACTTGATTTGATATCCCAATTGTGAAGAAGGTCTGAAGAAAAATATCTAACTAGGAGGCAAAGTGTATCATTTTTAAGTCTGGACAATTGTGTATGAATTAGTCTTTTGCTGTAAGGATTAGCTGAAGAATAACAAAAAAACACTTTATTTGATAAGTTGCTAGCTATGGTTTTGTGTGGTTTTGTTAGATTTATTAAATGGACCCATCGTATAGTCGTTGAGCACATCACAAAAATAAAAACAATACAATAATTCATTGGCCAGTGTCACCATAAATAAACTTCCAAAGAATAATTAAGCTATACAAATACCCACTTCCATGCCAAAGCTTGAGGAAATAGATGAGCCTTGCACCTTACCCTGAAGATTTACAGACTCAGACTCTCTCAGATCAAAGAGGGAGAGAACAAATACCATACTTAAGAGGAGTCTGCACTGATGATTCTCTTCCTTCAATGCTCAGGTGTTGAGATCTGGGCACAGATACACAATATGACAAATACTGTGTCCAATATTACTATGCAGGGTTTCTTTTCCCAAAATTTAAAGACCAAGGATTATCTTAAGGTGCAAAGTAAGGAAGGGTGAATTTGGTGTGAAAGATCATTAGAAACAGAACTATGGGGGTTTAAAAGGAACCTTTGAGATTATTGTGATGTTAGGAGAAACCTCATGTGGCAAACACACACACAAAAAAGTTTTAATACCAGTTATGTTTTGTCAGTTCAACATTACCTTTTGAATGGATGACTGTTCCATACAATTCTGTTAAAAGGGGGACTATTTATTTGTTTCTCTGTTTGTGGCTGAGTTAGGGCCCTAATAAACTTGGGATCTGGCATCTCCTCACACAATAAAATCCATCGTCTGAATTGAATTGCTCTGCAATGGCCTTGCTTGACTTCAATAAGTATTGCTGGGGAAAAATGCTAACAAATGTGCAAGACCCATGAGTCTGATCCAGGAGCATAAAACTTTCTTCAGGATGATTTTAGTTATAGCCAATACATCTCTTTATTATTGGTAGTCTGTGTGTTCAAAGTATGGAGTGGATAAATTAAATGGCAGCCTTATCAGTTTTAATGCCAGCGACTCGAGCTTACTGACTAAGGTAATCGAGTTTCCAATTCTAGCCACTGCCCTATCAGCAGAGCTTCTTGAATTTGTCAGGAGCTTTTAATCTCTGGTGGTTTGTGGAGGTGATGGTGGTGCAAAGAAATAAATGATTCACCGCTAGAGGCTTCCAAACATTGGTACAATTTCTCATTTGTTGCCTGTTGGGATGTCACTCAATGCAACCTGTCAGTGTCAATGTAAGTAGACTAGTGTGGATGGTGTGACTCTACTGCCCAGCCCATAAAGTCTAAGATGGTTTCATCAAGACACTGGTTTAAATAAATTGTTAGAAAATAATGTATTGTTAATCTTAAACTAGCATGTTAGTTATGTTAGGTATTTGCCCTCTTCTCTTTTGGTAAACATGTTTCTTTTTTTAAAGCTGAATTAGGTTAGTCATCCAAATACCGCCAGGACAGCTCTGAACAAAGCAGAGTGTCTTTGCTTGTAAAACTATGAGCTGAAGACTCAGCAGGGCTATATCAGCACTGCTCCATAGAAGACAGTGGAGCTACAGCTGTGAATCTGGCCCAGTATTTTGAATGAATACAGATTAGTTCCTGATCTTGGAAATCTTTACCTGGCTGTATTTTTAAAGTAACAATTCTTTGTGCTCACTAAAGGCACATAGTTTCTCTTTTGGTTATAACTTATATCCACAGAATAGACTGGTTCTTTTTTGGCCATGTCTATACCTGTGACAACTTTCTATTTACTCTGGCAGAGTAAGTGCTTTCATACTCTTAATCTTTTATTTTTCTCATTGTCTTCTCTGGGAAAGAAAAGAAGGGCCAGTCAATAAAAAGAAATCATCATATTGAAAAGAATGTGATTTAATTGTCATTCATGGGCATTAAAATTCAGATACATTATGAAATACAAGATAATAACACAGCACATGAATTCATTCTTATGATGAAGGTTTTATATCCTCAAGAACAGAAAATAGCACAGATTTTTAACAGGTCTTAAGCATCCTCTTCAGATATGATCCAAGCACCTAGCAAACATATTCAAAAGTTAAGGCTGTTTTCTAACTTTGACATTATAAAAGTGAAATGGAGCTACATCTGTAGCTGTAAAAAATAAATATAATTCTTGTCTATTCATTTATGCCCATTTCACACGTAATTGGATGCTTTCTCTTTAAAACTGCTTACAGTGTAGTTAATTTCTGCTTCATACTTTTGTGCTCCCAGCAAACTATCCAATTAAGGTTATCTGTTATAATGATAAATAGATATAATTATATCTCTGGTGAGCTAAGACTAGCCTTATTCAATTAGAATACTTCTGAGAAAGCCATCAGGCCTTTCCTTAAATAATATAATAAACTTCGCACACAGACCTTCACAATGCTGTGGGTCTGAGTTTGATTCCTGACAACGAATATATTCTGTGGGGTTTCACAGGTGTAAATGAACGGTAGAATTTGGCCAACAGTGATCATATTACAGCTCATTGTCATTCCAGGGTCCCAATTCCTCTGTGCTATGACTCCTTTGTGCTGCAAAACTTGAGGATCTGTCCACCTGGCTATTTCCTTGTTGTAGGGGGAATATCTGGTTGGCATAGAACCAGCTTAGCCACCAGCTGCATCATAGCGCCTTATGTACAGAGCCTGGCCATGGATGTATGTGCTGCTGCATTCTGGCTGTCAGAAAGGCTGCTTGGGTAGTGGGGCACAAACTAGAATAGCCCTGAATCTAACTTATGGTGGGGGCTGGCTAGCTTCAGAATCAGGGAGCTGCAAAGGTGTTATAAAGCTGACTTGCCCCATTTGGGTGTGGATCCAAATGCATCTTGGCCTGACCTAAGGATCTAGACTCGGATGTTCACATTTCTGCAGTTAGAAACCTTGGCCAGATTCTCTTTCTCCAAAATAAGAAATCTGTGGGAGAGGGCTCTGGAAAAAGAAGTTGCTGAGATGACTTCAGCGGAAAGATGTCTGGTGAGTTGTCTCCCTATGAAAGAGTCATGCACATCCCCCAAATGTGAAGGATCACGCAGGAGGACAGGGTCACTTTTATGAAGGTTCTGTGGCTTTACATCACTCCAAGTGGACTAACAATTTGCTTGGGAACTGGAACCACGTTATGAGTGACTTCCTCTGGCTTTTGCTGCCCTCAGGGCTATTGAGGGGACTGTGCAGAATAGATACGGCCATGTTTTCTATTGTCTACTTTCCATGGGTTGGAAGGGGGATGATCTGCATCCCTTTGGCCTTACTCCAGTCCCTGTCCTGCCCACACCTTCCCCGGCCCAACCATTCTCCAGCTCCTTCCCCTGGATGTACCTCAGACCCTTCAGAAAAGTCTTTGCAGAGAGAGAGAGAGAGAGAGAGAAATAGTGGTGGGGATGTGTGTGAGGTGTGTATGGGGGGGGGGGGGGGGAATGAGCCCTCCTTCTGAAGGGAAAGGAGTTGAGAGTGTGTGGCTACAGGGAGGTATGCTTTGGCCTTTTAATTGTGCATATGTTATAATCACTTATGATTACATTGTGCTTGAGTTGCCAGAAACCCTGTCTCTTGTGGAAGTAAATATTATTATAGTTTTCTTTTCAATGACATCGTTTCACCTGGAAAATATGAGCGAATATCCATATTTCACAAAGGTCTCACCAGGAAGGAATTTTGCCTTCTGCACTTGTTGGGAATGGCAACATGCTCACCAATTCAATATCTTCTACTACAATCCTGCCATGCATTTAAAATGGAACCACAATCATTTCAGGAATCATAAATTTATTTACTCATATCTGTGGGGAAAAAAATCTACACAAAAACATTCATGAAAGCATACCAGCTGTGTCGTACTGGGATAATACCACTATATTTCATTTAGCTATGGAAACTGTAAAACTTCATTTAATACAAATATTGGTCCTCTGAAATCTTCATAGTCAGCAAACATGGTGTAGGAAAACAGACTTCTACATTTGCTTTGTTTTTAATAGCGATACTAATACGGGTGGGAATTTCAAAGTTGTCTAACGGATTTGCAGAGGTCAAGATTTTCAACAGTGACTAGTAATTTTGGTATCAGAGGGGTAGCCGTGTTAGTCTGGATCTGTAAAAAGCAACAGAGAGTCCTGTGGCACCTTTAAGACTAACAGATGTATTGGAGCTTAAGCTTTCGTGGGTGAATGCCCACTTCGTCGGATGCAGTGGGCATTCACCCACGAAAGCTTATGCTCCAATACATCTGTTAGTCTTAAAGGTGCCACAGGACTCTCTGTTGCTTTTTAGTAATTCTGGGTGGCCCAATTTTTGGGTGCCCAACTTGAAATACCTTTAAGGTCTGATTTTCAGAAAGTGTTGAGCACCCACTCTTTGAAAACTAGGCTGCTTTCAGGTGTCTGAAGTTGGGCACCCAGAATTGAAGCATTCAAAAATCACTAGTCACTCTTGAAAATCTTGGCCTCAGATATCAAATTCAGGGGAATTGGGTATTAATTTAATGAGAATTGATGCCCAAGCCCCTCAGGAAACTCCATGCACTGTGCATAGTGCTTTCTTTCTGTTATACTGGAAGACAAAGGTAAATGTCTCCCATGCAGACCTCTGCAGATTGTGGTGAAATTGCTAACAATTTCTAGAGTTTTCCATTAATCTTAATAATGATCAATCCTAAAACCAGGTGGAATTGACCACATTTACTATTTTTCTTTGATGGGTTTAGAAACAGTAATATTTGTATTGGGATGTAAATTGGGCTTAAGTATGCATACAAACAGGAAATATGGTGGGGTTGTTTTGTTTTTTATCTTTGCTTGTTGGGACTAGATTTTTCTTTGCCATTGTAGAGACTGTATTGATTTGTAATGTGTTTTTCCAAATGTTTCTTTCATGACGTGTAAGTAACAGAGAAATATTTGATTTTTTTTTTTTATAAAGACAATAACATTTTAAAGGCTAACATAAAATCAAGCTGCTAAATTTTACAATTTGTCTGTCCAGCAGTTCATCTATACAACTGCCCTGAGTAGATGCTAAATGCTGCTTAGCAAATGGCCTTTAGAGTTTAAAAATAACTCAGTAAAGCTACTCAAAGGTAATACAACACTTCTCAGGCATCTTCAGTTTGAATTAAGAAGAAAGTAGGGTTCACTCATTAGTTAATTATTCACCCACTCATCAATGTTTTACACACAATAAAAACACAATTGAAATGTTCAGGAGGTCTAGTTGTGCTTTTTGCTATGCATTGGCTCACGTATGAGCTTATTTTTCTGAAAGGCAAGATTTTAAATGGTAAAATAAGTCCTATTTTGTGGACTGTTTGAGTTGCTGTTTTCATCAAACTGTATATATTATATTGTCCCCCTGTGAAAATATTTTTGTGTTTTTTTTATTTTGCAAAACCTCACTGAACCCGCTAAGAAAAAATTACCGTATTTCAAAACTGCAGATCTAATTTTATTTTTGTAGTGCATCTCAAAATGGTACAAATGTGTAAAATTTGTGCTTGTAAAAGCTTCTGCTTTGAGTAGCCTTACATTCCTTAATTTAGTCCTAGCAATTGTCAAGCTATTGCATGCCCCATTCATGAAAAATATATTTCGTTGGGATGGTGTGGCTTAAAGAGTTTGGCTCTAAAGCTTCCTTACCTAGAGCTTTCATTCAATTATATTAATTTAAAATATCTGTGGAATTATCAAAACAAAACCAAATTAAAGGGTTGGACTTATGAAAATGACTCTTTACAGTAAGTAAAAAAGGTTTATCACAGTTTTGGTAACTTGCATGAGTTCGTATTGAAAAGAAATCTTTCACATGTTCTTAATGAATTTTAAATTGTTGTGCTCTAGGTACTTTCAGTTGTACGCCCTGAAACAGTAGACACCATATAGCTTGTGTTTTTTATCTGGGAAGCCTACAAAGCGCACTGCTGCTTCATCAGGACTGCAGCGTCTTCTTGGCCTGGAGATTGGGTAGCGGACACTGCCATCAGCCAGCCAGCCGGCATCACAGCGATCATAACCTACAAGTTTCCAGGCAGCAAATATCTGGCCTACTTTAGCAATCTGGGATCCATCCTTGAGGCAGGCCTGCACAGCTTCATCATAGGTCAACTTGGTTGGGTGTATTAGGTAGTAAAAACGGCCTAATGGAAAGAGAGAAAGTAAGTTGTCAGCCACATGAAATGATTAAGAAATTCTATAAAAATAGTCTTCACTATAAAATCATACAAAAATGTAGAATATCAACAATCTGTTTGTTTTAGTGCTGGGAACTTGATTCAAAGCCACTTCATTCTTTCAAAATTGGGACTTAATAGATTCAAATACATTAAGTTCACATTCTGGTTAGGGGGAGTCTGAAGGAACAGAGCAGGGGGAGGAAGACGGACATTTTCTGTTGAACCCTTTTCCCCCCGAACCCTTCCCCCCCCCCCCTCCACCCAATCTATAGGTTATCCATGTATGCCAACTTGGCATTAGAGTGAGATGAGAGTGGAAGTTCTGTGCTGTGCTAGATACATTTCTATTCCTATTGCAAAGCACAGGGAGAAAATGTGGAGGAAAAGGTGTGTGCGCGTGGGGGGGGAAGTTCAGGAATTCAGAGTAGGCCCCCAGTCCTGCAACTGGATTCATACAAGCAAACCCATGTGTATACCCACATAGGACTACTGAAGTCCCAGAAAATAGCGGCTTATACATTTCAGACTATACAAGATTCATACATCTCTAGTTTATTCACAGGGATGAAACATTAGTTCAGTGCTTACATTATGATGGTTTTGCAATCTACATTGCAAATTAAATTAAACCCATCATGATGTTCCATTTTCTTGTCACAAACAGATTGGTATGTTTAGATCTGACCTGTGATAGTATTTAGGTAAAGGTGACTAGGCCTAACAGATGCAGTTTTATTAATTCATTACAGAAAGAACCATTCCTTGATATGGCAGACACAATGTTCCTGATGAAGTAGCAGGGGGTAGCCGTGTTAGTCTGTATCTACAAAAACAACAAGGAGTCTGGTGGCACCTTAAAGACTAACAGATAGTCTTTAAGGTGTTAGTCTTTAAGGTGCCACCAGACTCCTTGTTGTTTCTGATGAAGTAGAAGCACCATTTCAAGTCTTGCTGTAAGAAGGCTGAAATAGTGCACAACTTCTGAGAAGCAAAGTTTGAGCTTGTAAGGAAGACTTATGACAGGCAGGTTTTTGGTCTACTACAACAATCAAAAACATTTACTGTTTCTTTTTAGGCTTCACAGGGTATGTTCTCACCATAGAATGCTATAACACTGATAGCGCTCTGAGGAAAACTGTCTCTGTCTAAGGTAATACAAATATATGTCACTAGTAAAACTAAGTGGGGAATCTCTTTTAAGTTGTAAGCAACAACAATATAAACATTAATTTCTTCCATCAAAGAAAGGTATCACTTAAATTAATTGTATTCCTTTTATTCAATATCTTCAGGGTTATTTATCATTATTGGACTGACAGTTAAGCAACTGCTAGGTGGAACTGCAGTCAGCTGATAGGCTAACAATTCCCAAATAAGCATGGCAGGCTTTCAAACTGACGCATTTCCTGTGGACAATTTATATAAGAAATGAGGTAATTTTTGTATGGGGCCCTCTTGTTTTAATTCCAGAAGGAAATATTATGTTTCCTTATTAAAGAGTATGCCAGATTATTGTTGTTTTTCCCTCCTTGTGAGAACTATCTCTGCCCCCTTTCAAATGACTTTCTCAGGGGAAAGGATCTGTCCCTTTGGCGCCAACTACCCAAAAGGGCTTGTTGCCTAATTAAGGAGTGCCAGATTAGATGGAATATATATGGAAATTGGGAATAGCTCCATTTTTAGGCTTGCACCTTTTTATATTAGGACTTGTTTATATCAGAGCACAAATCCTAACAAAGCAAAAACTTTTGTGGCCTGTTGAGTCACTAACAGAACTTTTCCTTTGTTTCATTTTTGTTTTCACAGATCTGTTGTAATTCACTGAGAGGTATCGCTAAGAACTTTCCAAATGGCATTTCAATAGAAGAGTAATGGTGATATTGGGTAATATATCTATTTAGAAAAGCACATGCTTTCTTATGTTTCAATGCAGTTGAAACCATTTTATAATATTTGCTAACGTAGAAGGTTTCTATGACTGGATACAGACTCTTCATACTCTGTCAAAGGTAGTTTGCTGTAGAGTGAATGGTCTTTCAGATTTGCCTGATGGGCTGCAAATCCCAGTTTATTAGCAGCTAGTCAAGCCATGTGTCAATGGAAAGGTAATTTCCCATGGATTTGCAATAAGGTTGTGCATTTGACCCATGGCCTCAGTAATATCAGCACTCTTAATATGCCCATTCATTAAATAGGCCATTGCTAATAGTAAATGTTGTGCATAAAAAGTTCATCTGTATCCAGACTATTTTGTTAAATTAAAAAATAACCAATAAACTCTGTGCACATCTGCTGGCCCCCTTGAGAAGAGGATTTCCAGGCAGTAAATAAAACATTGTTAAACTTTACAATGTGTACAGACAATATGTGAACAGCTACTTCAATTTGGTGTAATCTCATCCCCAAATATCAAGAGGATGTAAGTGTGAAGTGATGCCTGACCGTTCTTTGGCTAGAACTACATTTTTCTCTTTCTAATATGTAATCCATCGTGATGTGGTAGTAGAAACTTTCACCTTGCACTTGTGAAAAAGCTGAGAACTTGTCTGTTAATTCCTTATTTTCCTCTTCCTTCACTCCCATTTTTTTGTTTGCTGTGCAATAGACATGAAATGCACACTAACAAAGAGGTACTACAGAAGGCCCTCTGTACCACTTAAACTCCAGGTTCAGAGAGGTGTTTGGGGGTGCAGGGGCATTCATTGGTGTAGAGGCTCTTGAATAGATCCTGAGCAATGGGGAAAACTTTGCCTTGTGATAGCTGTGAAACCACTTGTCTGTAGAATTTCTTCACGTCATACTGACAATCCTGGTCATTGATCCTTACAGTCCTCTGAGTGTAACCTCTTGCAAGTTTCTTTGTTATACTTTTCCAATGGCAACCAGAGACCTTTTGTTTGCTCCAACTGCTTTAAAAGGAGTAGGATTCTGCTATAAGTAAAGTTGGTGGGGAAGAGGGAATGGAAGACATAATGGAGTATACAGACCAGTGGAAAAAAAGGTTGCCAATTTTAATTGGTCATGTTCTTGGAAGTTTCATCACGTGACATAATCTTTAATTAAAGACTAATATTTAATTCCTGGAGACTCCAGGACAATTCTGCAGGGTTGGTAAACCTGTGTATAAGGTTCTTGCCTGGAGTAACTGAATAACTGAAGGCTAAAGCCAGATTGTTTTTGTCACTACACCACAGACGTAATAAGTGATTTAGGAAATTAAAAAACAAACAAACAAACCCTCTCATAGTACGGCCAACCATAAGAGATCAAAAATCATGTTACAGCCTCAAAATCATATGATTTTAAAAAATAGACTAAAAACATGTTTTTAGTCTATCTTTTGACTTTTTAACTCCTCTCTACTCTTCTGCCTATGTCACCTTGATCGATCGGTGCCTCCTGCTGCCCCCACAGCGTCCAGAACCAGAGGAGACATTCCAAAGGAGCAGGAAGTGTTGCTGCTGGGCTCTGTACCTAGCAGCAGCTTTTCCCTGAATTCCCCCTCCAGTGCAACCCTGCTCCCACATGGATGGCAGGGCTGGACTACGTCCTTCACCTTGAGGCATTCACAGACAGCACATATGACAGGTCATAAAAACCACCCTAAAACTGCTAGTCAAGATAAAATCACAAGTTGGCAATACTGCCTTTACTGTGACCCAACCCAACTAATCACATCATTGTGTGTTTGTGGAAAAGTAAACTGTTCTCCAGTGTCAGATGGCAATGTGACAGTAAAACATGGGAGTTTTACATATTCTTGGATGTATCCCGAAGGCTGCTGGCATTCGCACAATGTGTAGAGCCCATCATCTGCTCAACAGACTCAAGTTCAGAAAGTCTTAATAGCCACGGTGAATTGTTGATCAAAGCCACTATTCTTCAGAGTTGTTAAAAGACTCAGAAGTGAAACGCTTCATTAAATGGGATAGTTACTTATTAGGTTTGGCATCTATTTTGCCCTACGTTGGGGAACTACAGTAACTTGACTTTATTCTGCCACTTTAGAAAAGGGACGTTCCTTCAAAGGTCCTCATTGCACCAGCTTTCAGCAGCGAGGCTGGTGACTAGCAAACTCCATTCCATAGGCTAATTAATTCACTGACTTTTTGAATCCAGTTTATTTTTAATATTATTGTTGTATCTTCTCATTTTCTTTGGTCTCTCACTCAGAGGAACAATGACTCATTACTTGGTGTCCTATTTTCCTGGAAGGGTAAAATGAGCAATACAAATATATAACCCAGAAATGGTTTATGCATTGTGCATTTCTTTCATTAAATGGAAGATGGTGGCTTAACGTGTGATGTTTGTGGCCTCCAACATTGATATGACTGGCTTGCTGCTACACTGAATAAATTAAATGGGATTTTTTGTAAAAGTGCATTTTGTAACACAAGAGATTTGTGATTTTTACTCTGTTAGAACAAATTTAAAAAATCAATTATATGGTGCTGTTCAGTGTGCAAAGCATGTAACAAAATGCATATTAATGAGCAGAATGTGTAAAGCAAACCCCACTCAGACTTCATCTATATTTTATAGAGGAAGCTAGTACTAACCCTCTACTCGGGTTGCTTTCCAGTATAAAGAATACATGTGACTTTTTTTTTTTCTGTTTTTTTGAGAAGCATTAAAACCATAATTATTTGCAGCAGGCCTTTGAAATTTGGCAGGAGCAACCTGTTAGTCTATATTTTCTTTTGTCTTATAAAATTCTGTTCAAGTTTAACTGATTTTCAAAGTATTAAAAATCACCATTTTCTTCCTCACATGCAGACTGTCAACAAGGCCAGCTCCAGGGTTTTTGCAGCCCCAAGTTGCGGGGAGGAGGGAAAAAAAAAAAGAAAAAAAAAAAAAAGCCGCGTTCGGTGGCAGCTCCACCGCACCGCTTTCTTCTTCGGCAGCGGGTCCTTCCCTCCGAGAGAGACTGAGGGACCTGCCGCCAAAGAGCCCGACTTGCT